CACTGGCGGCAGCCCGTAAATATTAAATGGCCATAGAATTAGTTCGAAACAGGAACATGACGAGTGAACGTTTCGCACGAAAACTCCGGCGAACAGACATTATGTCGTCTGGCTTCGGAAGACTTGCACAGGTTGCTCTTCAAATAGGCGTGCCTGAGCTCGCGCATGGAAGCCCAAACACGAAGAGCCTCGATGGGTGGCTCCTCCTCCTGAGAACGCCCATTTTGCGAGGAATGTTGTGTTCTGAGGGCTGCTCACCCAACCAACATGCCGATGCAAACAAAGCACAGTCGTTGTCCGTGTCTGACAGCAAGTTGAACAGCTCCTTACAATCCTGTAATTCAACTACGTATTACAATCACTTCCATGCCCGGACCGGTTGAACTGTTGAAAAGCCCGTGACAATCTGCAGTGCACTGTCGTTCTGGGCACCGCCCGCCCGCCGGCTGGCCCGCCCGCCCGCCCGGTCCTGTAACTCATCACGTCTGGCCAGGACGGCTGTTGCATCCTGTGGGCGTTGGAGTCCATGAGGCATGAGCTTTACGCGTGTGTTCGAGTTAGAAGGCAACCAGGACAGTGGCAACAGCGAGAAATCATTGCACAGAGCTCTGCTTGTCTTTGTTGCACGCGCCTTCCATCGCATCCGCGGCCTCCGCAGCTCTGGGTCCGTCGCCATGAGCCGCTGGAGCCGCACGACGCGCTCCTCGTTGCACACATGATGTCGACACGGAGATTCTGCATCTTCCAAGAGGATTGCATCTGCTTGCTAATGGCAGCTTCAATTGCTTCTGGGTGATGTTTCTGGAAAGTTCAGCTGGTATCCAAGGCCGGATAGAAGGAGATAAAGGAGAAAAGAGCCAGAGATGCAGAAGGGAGCGGGGAGAGATCCTAACTCCGGCCTGGAAAGCAGTTTCCGTTTGTGAAACATACATGTGTTGCCGCAAGCTGCACAAGGACACCCGCGCAGATCCGGAAACGAATGCTGTCCGAAAGTCTGCCCTCTTGTCTGCACGGTGCTTTTCGTGCTTCTCTTCCAGGCGTTCCATGACCTGAGCAGCTTACACAAAACATGAGTGGACCCATGTGACAATCGATGATCTGTTGGTCTTTCCCTTACATGTAGACCATCATATATGCAGTGCGGTGGTGTCATGGTTGTGCAATGTTGTGCACCTGTCGGAACATTGTCGCATCATTTGCACGAGGGCTGAGCACTTCTTTTCTGTTGCATTTGACAGCCCTTCGAGGTGTAGCCGTCTAACTCTATGAATGGAGATGTCCCGGGTGGTGCGTCGAGCAGCAGTTTGGAAAACCTCGTCGCGCCGAACGTCGGACTTGATCAGCGTCCATGCCTGCATGTGTCCGATGGTGCGACCACCCAAACGGCTGATGGCAAATTGACAAAGTGATGAATCATACGCTTGGCGAAAGCAATCTCTGAAGAACCGCTGGATTTTCTGCAACGCATATGTCCTTTGGCCCCACTGCCGCCTCCTCGTCTCCTAGTATGCGAGCTGCCTCCTCGTAGGTGGTACCTGCAAAGCCATGCATAGGTGACCACATCAAGAGGCTGTCGTTTGTCGACCCTATCTCTGTCTTTTGTCACTGCAACGCCGGTCTGCCTAAAGCATCCGGATCTGCGAAGCGCTCTTCGACCAATCGCTCGAGCGCTACGGCAGCATTGCGTGCTTTCGCCCGCGCCTGGCAACAGAACACAAGGCAGGGTCTTGCTATATATCGGGTAATGTCGGCGAGAGACGGGTGCACTGCACCCTGAAGAAAGCTCCACGCTCGGACTCTGAGTGCGCGCAGGTTGCCAACTCTGGACCCGGACGAATGCGACAGACGCCCTGTAACCACATCTGACGCCGTGATTTTCAGGAGAACATGGACAGCAACACAAAAGACCACTGAGATCCACTGAACGGAAGAAAGGGGCTTTGCCCAAAGGGGTCCGGCCAACCACACGGCTCTCCCTCCGGCCATCTCCCGCCCTTGAGACGGTTCATCGCCCTTGAGACGTGCGACATTCAGCCTGTGATGGCGCCCCGATCCTGGCTGTTGGATTCTGCTATGCCCGTGAAACACCTGCACGGCCCACCGGGTTGAGTTTGGGTTAGGACTGTTAGGCTCGAATGGAATTCGAGGTCGCCCACGACGAGGGGAGAGCATGCAAGCTCTCAAGCGGTCAAGCAAAGCCCACTGCAAGTGCGAGTGCTCAACGGCTGGATGAGGAAATCGCTAACATCCATAGCTTGAAGCGCGAGCGAACTGGGCAGCCAGACTTTCGACCGCATGAGTTCTAGCAGGTCACGAAAGACACTATTGCGTAGTGACTTAGTGGCTGTTGTGGGTGAACTGCCGCCATCTGCCGCCTCCGTCTCGCCACGCTTGAGGGCTAAACTCAGAAGCTCCTCAGATTCTCGAACCGTCTAGTCTACTAGCCTGAGAGTCTGAGACTAGTCTTGCCGGCCGCCGAGCGCAGGGTCTCGCAAGAACGAACAAGGTGTTGAGTGCCGCCCGAGGATCCGCGAAGACTTGCTTCTGGACGGGCTCACCTAGCAGAAGGATTGCGCCCAGACCACACTCACACTTCATGCAGCGCTCTGATTTTTGGTGGCACCCTGCTACCGGAATGAAGCATGCTCATCTTCCAAGTTCGACCACTGGAACCGTAACCTTCTTGCTCCAAAAGTCTACGTGCAGACGGGCCGCTGACACCTTCGGCTTGGGGGGCGTCCCGGGCCAACTCTTGAACCCGTCGCCAGTCCCATGTCGCCTGGGTGAGTTGGGAAAGCGCGAAGCGGCGCGCGCGTCCTGTCCTGTGCATGTTTGTGCTGTACGACCACTGCATGGTGGCATCTTGAAGCGCAACATTTAAAAAGCAGAAGGAAGGACACGCCGAACCAACCTTGCATCAATTTGGGAACTCAGTGAAATAGTTGCCGTGCAGGCGCATCAACTTGCCGTTCCTTCAAGAACTCCTGGGCACAGTGTCAGTGTCGTGTCGCTCGATGTCGCTAGCAGAGGAGCCCCTTCCCTGAAAGCTCCTGGAAGGCTTGACGTTGCTCTGCACGAGTTTCGGGCAAGGGCCGATCGTCAAGTCCAGTGCTCTCGCCGCGGAGCTTGCGCCTCAGGTTGGGCTCGGTTGAGGTTTCTTGGTGGGTGCATTAAAACTTCATGCAAGCCCGGCACAGCTCCGGTGGCATGCTCCAGCAGCTAACTTTTGTCTCCTGTCATCACGTGGCAGCTGCTGCGTTAACACGGCTTATGCCTTCCCTGAACTTCACAACCCCAAGGCCTTGTTGTGGTAGAATATTCGGCCATCCCAGATCCTTAGATGTGCACAAGCAAGCCAGTCGATCGTGTAAGCGCAGGAAGCAAAGGAACATCAGCCAGCATTTGCAGGCAACCCAGTCTCCGATACTGCTTCCATGCGGTGGAATTCACAATCCGCTCGCTGTCAGTCATCAGTGAATCGGGCTTCTCCCATTGTGAGACACCGGTCTCCTCCAGGCATCAGACGGTCTGATCGCAGGAAGGGCTTGCGTCTAGCTGCCTCCATGCCTTTTAGCTAAGGGCGGAATGGGTGCAACCGCAAAGTTTGAAGAATTCTGGTCCAGGTATGTGCAAACAGCGACAGCCTTTGGATCTTGCCCTCGTACACCTCGTGGTTTCAACTGCTGGTTGATTGGTCGTGCTACTGAAAACGCGCAGGTGATCTCAAAGCGGTACAAGTGCAAATATGCACGCTCGCACATGTTGGGGGCGATGCTTGTGCAGCTACAACAAAAATAAGATCTTGATGTTTTTGATCGCATGGCAACGGTAAGTTCATCTTTCAGAACTTCACCCGCCCGACCTCATTGTGAAAGAACTTTCGACCATCTCCAGTTTGATGCTCACTCCAGCCCTGCTCGCTGCCGCCAGTGCCACCAGTGCCTTGCCTGAGAGAGAGAGAGAGAGATAGAGAGCGAGCGAGAGAGAGAGAGAGAGAGAGTGAGTGCGAGACAGAGACAGAGACGAGAGAGAGAGCGAGCGAGCGAGGGAGGGAGGGAGCGAGGGAGGGAGGGCCGGAGGGAGGGAGTGAGGCAGAGAAATAGAGAGGGAGAGTGGGAGAGAGATATAGAGTCAGAGGGAACGAGATAGTTAGAAAGGGAAAGGGAGGTTGAGTGAAGGAGACTGCGCGAGATAGATGAAGATGAACTGAGTCTGCGAGTTTTTCTGTTCATCCGCATCATGGACTTTTCAACCTCCTCAACCCGAATTGTCGCCAGGTGTGCAGGAGTTGTCGCTGGAGGAGGGCCGCCGCGGCGGCGCCGGCAGCTGCCGCGGCGGAAGGCGCAGCCATGGGACCTTTCGGCACGAATGTGCAAAGACACGGGCGAAGAAAGGCACGTGCCACTGTGAACGCCAGCTGGGCTTGGGGGCTCGACGACCAAGAAGGCTGGAGCATACGTTAGGATACTGTCCACATTCAGAGGCTGTAATGGGCGAGGGGTAGGTTGGATAATACAAGCAGCAGCAAGACTAGCAGCGTTCAACAACAATGATGATAGTCGTGCCAGCAGTGCGGCTGCTCTGGCTTCACATCGTCTCTGTCCGTTACGGCCTCAGCTGCGGGCCGCGCCCGGAGCAGGGCTCCCTTTGGCTGGAGCCAGAAACAGAGAAAGCAGCGACAAGTCGAAGCTCTGCGTCAGTCAAGGCTTCGTAAGAAAAGGCCGTTTCTACTGACATGATTGGCATCTCATGGCAAGGCTAATCATCATTGCCGCAACAACAACAGGAACAACAAACAGTAACAACAAAACTAATTCGAATAGCCAGACCCCTGGAGTTCTGGACTCTTTCGGCTCGGGGTCTAGCATGGATTGTCACCAGGTTGTGATGACAGCCCCATGCTCACCGGAAAGTGCGATTGTGGATGCTTTTTCCAGCTGGGCCAGCTGGCTTCGAGCATGGCAGGTCGTCAAATACTGGACTCTGCGTCCGTGTCGTCTATGGCCCTGCAACCCTGCAGGTTTCTGCAAAGCCGGGCCATCAACAAGAAAGGGGCTGGACCCGACCATGCCGCCTCTTGTTGATGTTGCCTGTGTCTGCATGAAGAGCCGCTGTGACTAGCCCAGTCCCGGGTGTCTATGTCGAGAATCAGCCAAGACATCACACGTCTTCACTCCATCGGATCCGACCAACGCCGAGGCTCCCTTTGAAGACCATTGTCTCCGCCAACCTCAAGGTGTTCGGTCAGGAAGCTTCGAACGGCTGGAATCGCAAGTGTCAAGGGGCGAACGCTCGTCTTCCTGGCAAATGCAGGCCTGGTGCAAAGGGCTTTGGGGCAGCGCGGATTCAAATGGGCTCTGGTTGCGCCAGCCCCAGCAGCAAAGTGCGTGCGCGTCGGGGCCTGACTCAACACGAAGATCCTGAATTGTGCGAGGCCTCAGTCAGCTTTCACACCTGAGACGCATGAAGACAGCCTCGGGTATCCTGGAGTGCTCAGGGCCGGATCGAGCACCGGGCATTCCGAGCATTCCGCCTGACAGAACAACTTGCAGCTGGCATATGCTAGGACTCAGATGTGCGACTGTTGCGACGGCCTCTCCGGTACACCACGTGATGACGACCGTCACTGTGCGATCGCCGCCTTCACGGGTAACCTGGAGCACAAGCTGCACTGGAATGGCCCCAAGCTGGCTCAGGCAGGTCTTGCCTGGGTTCCCCCTTTTACCGTCTCCCCCCCGTGCCTGTGTGTTCGCGGTTGGTTAGGGTAAGCAGGAGCACCGAAGCTTAAGTCTAAGTGTTGTGTTTGCTCGAACATGCCACCAAGCAGAAGCCGTAATCGTAGCTGACTCGTTGCATGCGGTGCATGTTGTAGCTACATTGGTTGGCTGCTGATCAGCTGGCGAACCTGCAGAGGTATGCTTGCTTGCAGCTAGTATTCAGCAGTATTGCAATCTTTATTGCGACTGTTACTACACAAGAGGTAGCGGTTTGCCTTTTTATTCCGTTGCAGATTCTAGCACTCGCATCTCGATCAAGTCAAGCGAGTTTTGGGACAACAACGAAGCTTCAAGCAGCTCGTCACGAGCCGACACAGTTGTTGCCGAGGCTCTTCTCGAGCCCAGGACATACATTAAACTGCAATCATGCAAGCTCAGACACGGTTCCGAGGCCCCAGACATCCCAGGAGGTTGCACGCGTCCGCAGTCGAACCTTCAGAAATTCGATCCGAAACTCGTCAACCATCTGGAACCGCACCTCATCGCACCTCCGATCCCGAGCTCTCGACAGGCCCAAAGACGCGTTGGCCTCGGCTTGGCGAGGCGGCCGAGTTCGACCTCACAGGCTGCACTCGGCAGGCTTGGTCAGTTCCACTCTCACAACGTGGCGCAATGGTAGGTTCGAAGATCGCGGCGGCAGGTCCCCCGCCCTGACCAAAATAGGCGGACTTGCTATTTTTAGAAGCCCCCGATGCACCTAACCCCCCCCCTCTCTATCTGCCTATTGCCAAGGGATCCCCCCGACCAGAAAGCCCCCCACACATAGCAACGCCCGGAAGCGGGTGCAGTTTGCGATTTGACGAGGATGACAGGGCCTAAAGTCCTAAAGGAGCCCGTCCCAGCAGCACAGCACGTGTTGGCTCTCTGTACTGTCTGCTTTCAGCTCTGAGGTTCGCGGCTCGATCCATTGCTGCAGCCCTTGCTGCTCAGACTTCTCGGACAAGCGCAAAGCAAAGCCTCCGAGCCAGTTCGCGGGAACTCCAGCAAAGTGGAGCAAAAGCTGCACGGGCAATGCAAGGACGGATGCACCCCCGGCCTTCGCCCAGAAGCGCCTCTCCAAGAATATCCTCAACCATTGTGACGTGCATGCCTCACCGAACCTTCCCGACAGTGTCTCAGTTTAAAATCTTAATCGTCGACTGATCACCTGACCTGCCCAAACTTGCTCAAGGACAGGAACGTGGCAGTCCTCGAGTCCAGCACTCGTCCGATGCACGGCGAAGGGATAGGCCCTGTCGCCGCTCATTTGCACTCCGTATTTAGATCCCGTTGCTCCGCCTGCGTAACGCCTTGACACATGGATTCTGAGGACGCAGCGTGCCCACGGTGAGCCTGAGAGACCGGAAGAGGGTTTCGCCAGCCACAGGAAATGTCGCCCGCATCTACATCGCTGCTTTAAACAACATCATTATTGTGCTTACAATTATCACGTTTCCACTGCGAACAACACGATAACTGCAGCTTCTGCGGGCTGCGGCTCATGCACGTCAGCTTCCAGGTCCTGGCATGAACATACGAGAAGGAACTGATGAGCAGGGGAGAGTAAACTTACTCACATTCGCCTGTGCCAAGTTACTGCTGAGACCCGGTGCCATCTGGGGAAGTCTTTCAGAGGGCTATGCTAAGACGTGTCCTCCTCTGGATCTCCGGTGTCTGGTAGTTCACCCAAGCGGTTGAGGGTGTCACCTCTGCTCTCACTAATTTTTCTGAACCTCCTTCATCTTGTTCCACGAACCGATAGCACGGATCCTGTGCCGAGCACTGAAACGGATGGCCATCAAGCATAGGCACTCGCCGCCAATGCCTCGGCATGCAGTCTTATTGCAAAAGACATGTGCGAACCTGCTTTTCGGATTCCAGACTGCCCTGCTAAGAGGTACCTGGCTCTCTCCGTCCACCCTGCTCACGAATGCCAAGCTGCTTGGAAACCAGGAGCAACCTGGGCAAGGTCATCATGCTCAGCCGATGTGCACTAGAAACTCAATGCTGAGCCCAGAGATCCCCGGCAAGGCCCCGGCATAGCTGTGCCGGCCCCTGCTGCCCGAAGAGTGGGGCGAGTCGTGCGGACACGGTGACCGCCTGCGGCCGTGTATGTTCGCTGCTCCTCACTGACTCATTCCATCTCTACATTTGCGGGGTCTTCAGAGAAGCCGCGGGAGGCGTGAGCAGTCAGTAAGATGCAGAATCGAGTACAGAAGCGTGGACATCTTTTTCAGCTGCGGGGGCTCCGACTGCGTGATGCCGAGCGCCGGCTTCTACTCTGGCCGCCTGTCTTCGCGGAACTTGGCAGGTCCCTTAAAACCTCGCCGCAATTCACTACGCGAACTTCCTTGCAGGTGGAGTCGCGTGCCGACACGATATGGTCTAGGAATGCAGAGCCCGTGATGAGGCGCCCCACGGCTGCATGGTCGCGGTCCAAACGAGGAGCAGGGGCAAGCGTCAGAATATAGCCCGCAAAATCCACATTTCGCGAGACGGACAGCATGCCGGGATCTGTGTGTGGCAGTCCTTTCCCTGTCTCCGTTTCCGGTTCACCTGGCAGGGCGGGATCAGGCACATTCCAGGAGCTGCCAGTTCTCTTTGCTTACCCTACCCAGCTCAGCTCCGTCCAACAGCGCAGAAGTTGGCGTTATCTGCCTGAGCATACCAAGCATGCAGCCCACACGACCATTGTCACCAGAAGAGGCTGAGCCGAATGGGCGGAAAACTCTTCTACTCGTTCAGACACTTACTATCGGTGGTTGCAAGCGAGTTACGTTAGGCGGCGGTCGCTGAGCCTTCCGGCCGCGCAGTCCTTAAACTGGATGGTTCTGCTTTGCTGCTCGCCGCCGCGACGATCAATATCTTGATCATATCTTCCCCCCTCTCTGTGCCCCCTCACCGTGCAAGACTGGCAAGCGGCAGCAGTAGTCTCACAACGAATTCGCACACCCAGCATGAAGCCTGAGCCTGAACCCAACAGAGCGGTGGAAACTTTAAACTTCAGGCCACTCTGCATAAGCCGATGAGCAACAAACAGTAATAACACGAATAATAATAACCATCATAAGAATAGTAATACCAATAAAAATAATAATAACAATAATAATAATAATACCAACAATAATCATAATCATAATCATAATCATAATAATAATTTTGATAAATAATAGTAACAAATACTTAATAATAACAATAACAATAATAACAATAACACTACTAAACAATAATTTATAAAGATATTCAAAAAATAATCATAGTAATGCTAGTTCTCGGCAGCCAAGGCACCTCCAAGAGGCGGCGCGCTGCTTTGGGCGCCGCCTGCGTGGGCTCTGCAAGGGTTTTTGGGTTCTCTGAAGGTGAAGGCTTGAAGGGGTTTTTCCCTCCCACTTAGCAAGGACAGAGCCTGCATTGCAGGGTAGTTCAGGTAACATCGACCATGCATCAGCCACAGTTTCTGACGGGTTTTTTTGCCTTAAGGTTTAGGGTTTTTTCCGTCCTACTTGGCAAGGTTTCGGGTTTAAGGTTTAGGGTTTTCAATGCCTGAAGCGACAGTCCACGTACAGCTCAGTATGACCAGGCTAATTTGAGGCTGTGCACTGAAAGTGGACACTTGTAACAAAACTGATTTACGGTGCAGTTTGGACTGGGTGGCACAACCAAGTTCGACGGTGATTATCAGCAGTTGCAGACATGGAGTTTGCAGTCAATCTGCTTCATCTCGCTGGACTTTCTACATTGGAACCCAAGCGGCACCAAACAGCGATGTGTCTGAAGTGGTCATCCAGTCTGCTCGATAGAGCGTGTGCTGAGCAAAATCTTCGATAGTGAGCAAAAACTGAGGAAATTTGGGGGCTTGACTGATCAGAGGCAGAGGCCAAAGCCTGGGACTCTAGCCTCATCCAAGATCATCGCTTGGTCTTCGGCCTCTGGGTACAGCTCAAACTCCAAGGCTTGCTGGTGGTCTACTCCGAAGAAGGCACCACGGAAGATTGCAATCCTTGCAAGTCTCGTGCAGGATTTGCTTATGGTTGGTGCGTCTCACCAAAAAGAACAACTCTAAGGGTGAGTTAGAAGAGACCAAGAGGCTCCAGAAAGATCTTTGGGCGGCCAGAGCAGGCGCTTTGGATCGGCAGTTTGGGGACATGCTCGATGCATGCCCGTCCCCTGTCACAAACCAATCTGGGGCCATCGAGTCACGGGATGTGGGGTCATGTAGAGTCAATGTAGCGGGGACTGAAGATCAAGAAGGGGTCCAGCGCCAATCGCAGGCGAGTGCGCAACTTGTGGCATGGAATTGCTTTATAGCGTGAGCACGGCCTGCCGATACCGTCATCCTCGCTAGGCCGGCTGGGCCGGCTGCCTGCCTTCAGCTTGCTCTGGCCTTTGCGGCCGAAGACCACTGCCATGGCCGCTCGCAAACCCCTCTTTTACTCCTCTGCTCGCCAAAAACAAATCTTTACTCTGTCGGGTACGGTAGAGCGCATTACCAAGCAACAATAGACCTGTTTACTTCATCTTTCGCTTCGTAGCCTCCCCTGGTCAAGCTAGGCCAGGCCTCTGTAGCCATGCAGCATGTTCGAGAACTCATCAAGCCCCGCTTCCCGCCGCGAGATTCTGAGCACAAACTAGCCTGAGAACCTATTTTCACACGATAACGAGAACCATGCTTCTCACGGCAAGGGCCTCGTGATTGGCTCTCGCACGGCGCAGCTCCTTTCCGGCAGACTCACAAAGCTCTGTCACATGTGTACCCTGAGCCCGGCCAGCAAAGGCAAACTTTCCCTGACAAACTGCGGCACCTGCTTTATCTATCTTTATCTGAAGTCATGACTCCGATCCAAGCGCGCCTTTTGCAAGGCATGCCGCTCTGTGTCAGAGAGGAGAGCCTCGCTGAAGAACCTGCCTGCACGGTATGATGACAGTGGCCAAGACCCAGCCGAGATCAGACATGTCACAACCCGAGTCGTTTCCACGCCTTACATCCTCACACTGTACAGTTGAGGAATATGCTGCTTCGGTCGGCACAGAACTCAGCCCTGCAAACGCCGAAGCAGCCTTGTGGAGGCGGGTGCTCACTCTAAAGCAACTTGACACACTGGTCCAGGGATTCGCCAATCCTGCATTTCTGGCATGGCTCCCTGTGCCAGCTGACGCTGGCGGCCATTGGTGTGCATGGATACTTCGTGGAATTTCATAAGTACCCGTTCATACTTCACGATAGCATTAGGGAAACTCGCGGCACGTAAATCAGGCAACAGGTTCCGCTTTTGTAGCATCCTCCAGAAAAAGCTGAGGAGAATCTGCTATAACGCGTGCGTGGCTAGACTCGTTCATCAGGCATTCGGCTGGCTGTTGATGGACAGTGGATGCCATGATCAGGCCTTACAAGGAAGCCCAATTCCAAACTTGGGCGAGGATCAGCGATCACAGGAAAGGCAAACCAAGAAAGACAGGCATTTAAACGAGCCGCTTGACCGCTCCACCTTTGCAATTGGGTTGACGTTGTCTTGGACAACCGTTTCGGTAACCGTCTTGTCAAAGCAATGGGTTGCTGCGACGATGATGTGCAACTCTGCATGACCTGAGTGAAGGAGAACCTGTTTCCAACTTTATCATTTTCTCATTGATCTTTGGCCTACTTGGTGAGACTCTGCTCCCAACGAACAACGCAACATCGCTTCGAGGAGCAACCCCATGTCCCATCTACGTGCGGCCCAGGTTACTGAGTGGAAGGGCACCTGCTGCAGGAGTGGAGCAAGATGTTCAACATATCCCAAATCGAGCCAATGACAGAAAGCAGCTTCCAAAGACACACCAGTCGACAAGAAAGTCGAACATGCCTGACTTTGTGATGGCATCGAGCAGGTCGAAGGCGGCGTCCTTCTCTCCTTGTTTAAGGTGGAACTGGGGCTGCTCAACTACATGGCGTTTGCTTTAACTCCTGTTGTTGAGAGCTGCTCCCGTACTTGTTTCTGCTAACGGGTCGAAAACTGTCCTG